TTTAGCCAAAGGTCACACAGCCTTTTGAGCTGAAATGGAGGGCTACAGTTTCTCTTACAAGCTACTTCTGCTCCTTCAGGGAGACTGTGGTAAACAGTACCGAAGCCTTACAAATAGAATTTAAAAATCATCAGCGTTTTAGCGCAGCGCTGGCAGCTGCTGCGAACCCGGTCTGAAATCCAGCAGCACCCTCGGCTCCTGCCCCGCACAGGCACCTACCGCCAGTTCCTCGGAGCGTGCCTGCACAGGGGTGCATGGGCGAGAGGGGACACCGCGCATCGGTTTTTGCACCGCACACCGCCTGCTGCCGACCTCCATACGTGGCTCAGCAGGGGGTCCGTGCGATCCATCGAATTCACTAGAAGTACACACTGAAATAAGACGCGCAGGCTTTGGTGCCGCATGAAGTATTTGGAGTCCAGCCCTCAGTGAATGTTAACAAGCAAAAAAAAAAAAAAAAAAAAAAAAAAAATTCAAAAATAAAAGGAAGATCAGTGGACAGACCTGGAGTAGTACCAGCACCCTAGAAGGGTTGTAGTAACATGCGGCTGCAAGCCTCATGCTGGGTACAAAGGTCTTCATCAACATTTACACAACCTCTCCTTTGAGTCTCATATTTCAAGTTTACTCAGGTTGTCAAGCAGTGGAGGATGAGGGACTTGAAGCAGACAGATTACCTCAGTTCAGCTGTTAAAAGTGGATGTTATTTTTAACCTTGTATGTTCCATGTAAAGGCTTTCCAGCTGACACAATTTTAATTACATTAATGCTTTTTGTTATCAGCACCACTACCCCTTAATTGGAACGGCAGGCTTTCCACTAGGGAGCCACCATCACAAAGTTTCTAGTGAAATAACACTTAATAATTGCCGCAGCACATTTCATCTTCAAAATGCTATACAAACATGAACTCAGTTAATTACCTCGCCCTGTATCCCTCAGAGGCAGGGAAGTGTCATTACCCACAGGTAATCAAAGGGGAAGACTTTAATGACACACAACGTCTTGCCCAGGACAACACAAAGGCTTGGGGCTTGTTTTGGTTTCTCGGCACAGGTCCCTAGTGCTCTCTGAGATGCCAGAGAGTGCCTTCAGGGATGCACAAGGGGCTGGCAGGTAGGGAACGGCAGCTCTGGGACCCCTTCTGTAGCAGCCAGAGGCCAGAGGAGATAGCCTGGAGTATCTCTGATGGTGCTGGACACTGTTGTGTAGACAGCTGAGCCCAGTGACAAAGCATTAGACACTAGGAGTTTCCAGCATCTAGACTGTGGGATCCCAAAGCTAAAAAACAAACCAAATCACAAGCCTCTTCCAGACCATTCAAAACACAGAATAATAACCTACATGTGGTGCAGCACTCTCCCTACTGAGCAAGACTGAATAAGCACGCATATATTATGCTCTCCGTGCATTAGGTGACTCTCAAGTGCATCAAGTCTCCTATGGTGCCACAGCACAAAGTCACGTTAACATTGGAAGTGCAGCTTCCACCTTCCTACACGGCAGCTCTAGATGACAAGACCACACAACCTGTCCATTACAGCACTGGGAAGCCACTGCTCATCACCTTCATGTAAGAGGGATCGATTACTCAGCTGCTGAGCTGGAAAAATGGGTTAAGAATAGCCAGAGATCTGCTCCAGAAGCAGGAGGAAGGACTGCTCTGATCCAGCCCCGCTGGGATTCTGTCACTAGACCACAAGGTTGTGGAGAAGAGACAGTTGTCTGCTTGCCCGCATGTTGGGGTGAGCATACCTGCACTTATCTACCACCACTCTCTCCTCCAGAGACACACATCCAAGGACAGAGCAGGCCTATAGGAAGGATTATTATTCAAAATCCATGTTGTTTCTGTTTGCTTAACGTAAGAGAATAAACACTAAAAATTACAATAATGCAGATTTGTGGACAGTGATCTTGATGAGCGAGCACCTGTGCACACAAGCTCAGGCAATCTGGTACCACTGCAATCTTAGTTTCACCCTGTATTTTTCCGGAAGAGTCGTCACAAGTAGAAAATACTATATATTTGCACAAGGCACCAGAGGTATGGTTGCCATGGCAACCACAACCCTCAAAATTCCCCCAAATTTTTTACTCCATATAAAATCTCAATCAGAAAGAATGTTAATGTGCTGCATGGACTTTATCCTTGATATATGCCAGATTTTACAGTACATAAGGGTTTGGGATTTTTTGTTACTTTTGCACATTTTGCTTAGAAGTTTATCAGCTTCTGCCTACATAGACAAGACTTCTGTTAACCTACATCACACAGTAATTATTTCAATTGCTCTTTAAGTTAGCCAGTTAGGAAATAACCAAGACCGCCTCAAACCCCAGCTCTTCAGAGATCCCTGTGTGTCTGCCCTTACGCGGTGAGAGCAACCCTCCTGATCAGCACTAAAAAACACTTCACTCCCCTGACACAGCGGATATGCTTTGCAGGCAACTACAGAGCAGGGCGAACAGACACAGCTGCGTGTCCACCCAGCCTTACGTTTGTCCCTCCTGTATTCATTTCAACCCACTTTATCGCCGGTTTACCTATAAAGGTGCAGCTAGGCCCAAGCTCTAAGCTTCTTCCAAACTGGAATGGCAGAACCGGGGTATGGGGCAAAGGGGGCTGTCAAACAAGAGGTGCCAGAGTTGCAAGAGGTGCCACTCTTTCTCATGCCTGCCAGATCCTCTGTCCTCCTGTAGTTCCTACTGTCGACATTTGTAATCCCACCTTGTACTTTTGCTTCTCTCCTCTCTGCTTTGACTGCAATACTCCAAATAACAAAATAAGCTATTGCTACCAGACACCCTGTTCAGCTTATTTGGGGTGGATTTTTTCACCTGCTGGTGAGATTTAAGGAAATAAATTCATTAAAAGGAAGTATGTGGGAGAAAACAAAACAAAAACCTTCCCTTGGCTTCTTGTATAAGACTTATGTGAAAGAGTTCACCTGTAAACTAATACTTTTGTATTTCTATTGTACCTGTGAAAGAAAAGAATAATAGAAAACACTCTAAAGGGTGAGGCCATGAGCTGTATAAGATTACTGATCTCCTTCTGCATGCACCATACAAACTCTTAGATATTAGTCCTTGAAATTCACATTTTTCCCTTAGCCTCCTACTGCCGATCTCTTCACCATGGTGTCTTTTAGCACTTCAGCTTTGTTAGCTGCATTCTGCCTAACTTAGGCATCAGGCACCTCAGAGTAGCTTCACAGGTAACCTGACATTGGTGCCTAATGCAATAAATCTCTGGAATCATTACTTCAGATTATTTAATTTCCCATATTAAGAAGCCCGACACATCTGGCTCTTTTCCATCTGTTTGTCCTATGTTCCTGTAGAGGCATGAAGAAGGGCAGATCTTGAAACCTTACTCCCAGGAAGGAAGGAATAAACCTGTCTGATAAAAACACAGGCAGATTTGAAGACAAGCCTGAAAATCAGTGAAAGCACTATAACACAGCGCTCAAGATGCCCCTCTTCATGAAAGGGCACCGACAAGTAAAGACAGTGATATGGGAAGCCAAAGGTGACTGAAAGTGAAATGGGTCACTGCTATCCCTCCAAGCTTACAAACCATTTCAAATCAAACAAGATTCACCTCGTGGGCACTGGAACCTTTACTCTTGATCTCAGAGTGCCAAGATGCCTCCTAGATAGGAAGCTGCCTGGCTCTCCTTCTCTCTCAGCTTCTTTCTGGGTTTAAACTACAAATCTTTATCTGTCACTCAGACAAACAGTCTCCAGGTATTTATGTGCTTTTTTTGCCCCTGCTTCTTCTTTCTCAAGCAGAGAAATACACCATCCAAGCAAACAAATCCCTGTTTGTTTCAGTCATGTCACCTGAGCCATGACTCAGGAGTCGTGGCTGACTGATGTGTGAAACAAAACCTTGTACGCCCTTCCCTGACCATATGGCATTCTCAACCGCATGACTTCAAACCACCTGGGCTTTAAGTCATTTATACCTCGGTCATACACACAGATTACCTTAAGTCACAGGTACTGTAAAATCATTTTGTGCTTCTGATTTCTCCATCAACAGCAGAAAAACAAGCAATGTGGTTTTGCCAAATGAATTAATTAAATGCAAACTTTCATTCTTAAAATGCTCAGAGGTTGCAGATCTCTGAACAGAACTGCTGAGCTGGATGCTCCCCAGGCCTGGTGTTAACCTTCCCTTGGAGTCTCAGGCTTGCCAGTGTTATCAGCACGGAGAGAATCTATCTTGTCATCTCTCTCCTACACATCCCTCTGACAAGAAATGGCCCATGGCTACACAAAGATGCTTTCCCATTCAAAGCAGAGCTCTGAGCTGCATGATACACAGCCAGCCTGTTGCTGTATGTGCGAAGGTGTCCCTGCAAAACACCAGCATCTGAGCAGCACCAGCGTCAGACTGCAACTTCGGTGGTTTCTGAAGAAAACATCTTCTGGGCAGGGCAACTATTTTGAAATGCAAAGCTATCCAGAGGCAACTTCAAAACTGCATTCCAATTTTAGATGAGAGTTCATGATGCGACACACCCCAGTCATGGTGGTAATTCGGGAAAAGAGCCTCCAGGGGAGGGGGAAAGATGCAAAGATGCTGGAGGAAAAATGTCTGCAGGAAAGGAAAACAACATCGCTGCCGCTCCTCCCCGTGTCACTACTTTAGTGCGCGCCTAAAGGAAAGGGTTTATGGCTGGGTGAAATCATAACATTCGTAGACGGAGACACAGGAGCTCGTCGATTTGAGAGAAAAAGCTTTAAAGCGAGACCGCTTAACTCCCGGGCTCTCCTCAGGGCCCAAGCGCCGGCCAGGACGCGAAACGCGGGAGCGAATTCCCTCGCGCTCTCGAGAGAAAACACGGACTCGGCCGAAGCGCGGGGCCTGGCCCCTGCTTCCCGGCTGCCCAGCTTGCCCCGGCCCACGCACCGCCCGCCGGCCGAGGCGGCCCCGCTCCCCCCTCGGCCTCCCGCCCCACGCCGCGCAACCCCCCACCCCCACTTACCCCCCTTTCCTCCCCCACGCCGCCAGGGGGCGACGCGCCGACCCACCGGCTCGGAGGCGGGCGGCCACTGATTGGCGCGCACCCGCGCGCGGCCGCGACCCGCCCCCCTTCGATTGGCCGAGCCCCGCGAGCGCTCCGCGATTGGCCGCGGCGCTGAGGGAAGTGGCGGTGGGGAGGGGGGGCCGCCCTATATAAGGGTCGGCGGGAGGAGCGGCCGCGCAGTTTGCGGGCACTGGCGGGGGGGTTGTCGCTGCTGCTGCCGCCGCCGCGGGAAGATGGCGACGCTGAAGGCCGTGTGCGTGATGAAGGGGGACGGCCCCGTGCAGGGCGTCATCCACTTCCATCAGCAGGCAAGGGCGAGCGGCGGCGGCGAGCGCGGCCCTATCGCTCTGCGCCTCCCCCCGCCCCCGGGGGCTCGCGTGGGCGCTGTGCTGAGTCACGGCGGCGGTACCGCCTTCCCCTCCCCGGGCGGCTGCGGAGGGAGGCCGGCGGGAGCCGCGCTCGGCGGGCCGGAGGCTCCGCGCCGCTGCGGCGGTGGGAGGGGCCGCGGGTGCTGCTCGGGCGCCTCCGGGGCCGGGCGGCCTCCCCGGGTGCTGGGCGGGCCCCCCCCGGCGCTGGGTGCCGGCCGCCCCCGGGGCCCGTGTGACGCGGAGGCGCCGGGAGAGCGACCCTGCGCCGGGGGGGTGCGCCGCGGAGCGCCGGGCTGGAGCCGCTTCCCCCGCCTGCACAGCTTGCGTGCCACTGTCGCAGTAGGGCTCAGAGGAACTTTAATTGCCGAACGGCCAGAGCCCTTCTAGCGGTCGGTCGTTTATATTCGGTGAGGAAGTTGGGGCTGCGCGCAGGCAATACCGTGTCTGCCGGGGAGGAATGATTTCGGTGTTACTTGGCTTCCCAAGGGAAGTACGCAGTTGTTCTCAAAGGCAAGAAGTCCGATGCAAGGCGTTTCTTGCTGATGCGCAATAAGAAGAGTATACTTTAGGTGGCTAAATAAATGTCAGCATTCTGTGAAATGCAGTATTGGCATACAGAATCAGTGTAAGGTGATTGTTCGCGTCTTAGTAAATAAACTGCTAGGGCAGTCTCCGGTGCTTTCACTTGACTAGGAAGCTTCATTTGACTCGAGGCCATTTAATGCTGTAGTCATTTTGATGATCATAAATTCTTTCCATCAAAGGGTAATGGACCAGTAAAAGTTACTGGAAGAATCAGTGGCTTAGTTGATGGGGATCATGGCTTCCATGTCCACGAATTTGGTGACAACACAAATGGTAAGATGTTTATCCAAGGTTTTGAGTTAAGGCTGTAATGTGATTGCTCAGCTTTAAAGAATATCTTTTAGTGTTGCAGCAGCAAATTCTGTAACTGTACTTAAGTCTCATGACTGCAAATCTGTGTTAAGAAATGATGGCATTTCCTAAGGAATGGCTTCCCATTTAATAATTTGAACGTGTTTAGGTTGGTGTTCCAGATCTGATGTATCGAGCACTAACCTAAATACTTTTATAACCTAGTGCTAGGAAATAAGAAAGCTTTCAACTGAGCCCAGAGTGTTTTAGAATGTGTAATCTTACTTTATTGAACTTGTAAATCTATAGTAGGTTACTTACCTCTGGAGAACATCTAACAGTAGCGATTTCATCATTAGCGACTCCTTCCTCTGGCTGTAGGAGGACTACATTGGTGCAGTGTATAAGCAATGGATTTAAACTGCCTACTGCAAAAAATCTAGTTTTGATGTCTGTGTTCTGTTTCAGGGTGTACCAGCGCAGGTTCTCACTTCAATCCTGAAGGCAAGCAGCATGGTGGCCCAAGTGATGCAGAAAGGTGAGTTTTTAATGTGCCTGGCCTCTTACTGGGTAGCTACTCCATGCAGTGGCCACCTCAGTGCTACTTTGTGCTTGGGAGGCCACTTCAAGAATAGTGCTGAGACAGTAGCAGAAGAAAACTGGTAGTTTCTGCAGAACTTCTAGGGTCGCTTAACAACAGCTCTGATAACTGTACAGTGATTTTTAGACACCTGGGTTCTAAGAGAGCAGGTAAAATGTAGTCTTTGGGACGTATTCTTGGTTTTATCGTATCTGGGGGAGAAGAGGTTCTTACTGAGTGAAGGTTCCTCAGGATGTGAGTGTAGGGAATTAGTGTGTTAAAGGCTTACTTGGTCAGTGGTGGTTTGCTTCTGTTTCAAGGTCAGCTTTGGACAAAAGGGGGCCCCGAACAGTCAGTTGTTCAAGCCATGTGCAGGCTTGTCATGTGGCAGATCTGGATCAGCAGTGGAAGGTGCTGAGGCTTCAGGGGATGCTGCAAGCTGAATACAAAGCTGTGTGTGCCTGGGCATGGTGGCTTTTTGTTGGGTGTGCTGGGATGTTCCTAGCCTGCTGGGCTACGTGCTGCACTACCTACAGCATGTGCTGTGCCAGTACAGGGTCTGATGCTTACGCTGAATGTCTCTGGGAGCTGGGACATAGTTCTTCCCCTGGAAGGAGTTCTCATAGTGCAGTTACCTTCAGGGAACCCCTGCATGTTTGAGACCTGGTGTCTGAGCAACTGGCTTAAACCTGCTGATTGGGTTTGAAGACTGGGAGGGGGCTGCACAAGGGCTGAAGGCTGGTGTGGTAGTGAGTGGAGCTGGGAGCAAACATAAAGGGTAGGCTGGTCTTGCCCAGGTAGGGTCTGGACTGGCCCTGGGACCAGCTTGGCATTGTGGTTAGCCTTCGAATGCTCCCATCTATGTCTGGGACTGATAAATTCATACCTGAGTGATCAGTTGTGTGCCAGACCAAGCAAGCTGGCTGCTAGCTAGCTGTCTGGGGGGCAGAGCAGCATGAGGTGGTGTGCTCCCAGGCTTCAGTGGCAGCCAACTGCTCCAGTGCTAAAGGTCAGAGTTGCATGAACATTGAGGCTTCTGCCGGTTCTGTTTTGTCAAATCCTGCTTCTGGTGTAACCTGCCTGCTCAGGCAGCTCTAGGCTGGGGGGAATTCTGTAAGAGGTTATAAGAACTAGATAGTGCTTTTATCAGTGTGGAGTTGAAACAATTGGACTGAAGTTTATTGGAAGCTTCAATCAAGTGGATTACTAAAGGGAAAACTGCCCGTGACCTGACTTTCATAAGACTTGGTTAAAAATATGAAGTTGGCATTCTGCTGCCTAAGAAGCTGGTAGTTGGCATTCAGCGAGCTGAGCTGGTCACCCTGCATGGAGAGGTTTAGAAATTAGTTGGTGTTCAAGGTTCTGAATCTGGATAGAGGAGTCTTGCAGAACATCATCAACTTGTCTTTTGAGTGAATGGTTTATTTGGGGTAGATGGCGTAGGAAGCAATACACTGGAATGGCCAGAAGTTCAGTGAAAACTGAACGGCTTGAGGCTTAATTCTTAAGGGAAGTCCGAACAGAGATCTAGCTCTGATACAAACTGTGTAATAGGGTATAATGCCACGTGCATGGGAAAATGCCAAGTGAACTTGACCAGTTATCCCTGGTACTGGTTAGAACTTAGCTAGCACTTGAGGCATCTCCGTTGACCTGTCACTTGACAAACTGCTTCTACTAATCCTATTTAAACCTGAAGCCTGCAGCTGCTTGTGGAATAGCTGATCTGTGATAGACATTAAAAGCTCTTATCAATAGTGTCAGTGTTCACACCAAACCTTGTATGTGAAGGAAAGGTTACTTCACCTAACTTGAGAGATTTTTCTTTGAGCAGAGGGAGGTGCCATCAGCACGGAGGAATTCTTGACTAGAAGAGTTGGGCACTGTTGGCTTGTTAGGGAGTGATGGGATTCCTTTCCCCAAAGCGGACTGATCTTCCAGTTTCAAGTTCTACCTAAGACTGGATTTTAATCATCCCTTGAACTAAAGGAGTGAAAATAGTGGAAGTGATCAAGATTGACTTACGGCAAATGAGGACATACGTGCTGTTTAAGGTAGATGAGGTACTTGAATTTAGTGACTAGGGGTGTTGTATTGTCCAGGCCATCACTTAGAGCTTTCGCTTCAACCAAGTTCTCTGAGTTTCTCTGCATCTTTGTGTAGGCACGTGGGAGACCTTGGCAATGTGACGGCTAAAGGAGGAGTGGCAGAAGTGATAATAGAAGATGAAGTCATTTCTCTTAGTGGACCACATAGCATCATTGGACGCACCATGGTGGTAAGTGTCCTGGCACCTACTTGGATGCTTTAAGGAACTCCAGAGCCTTCTTGACAGTGAATGGGGGACTTTTTTTGTACTGGAGGCCAGTCCCTGGGATTACAGAATTTGTAGTGCAAGATTTCCAATGTGGGGAGCTCTTTGAAGCCCTTCCCAAACGTCCTCTGTGTATTAGTATGGCCCTTCACTGCCATGAGAGCTTAATTTTCTGCCTGCCTTCTGAAGATGTTCCTCTCCACTTAACTTTGCTTCTTCCAGCTGTGAGTGACTGACGTGCTCTGGCTTGAGGAAGGAACTGTCAGCCTGGCACAAAGGCACGGCAGTGGGCACTTTGGGGCACTGCTCTGGTAGCTGCTGCTGTAACTGGTGCTATGGCCCCCCGGGAAGGGGGGCGTCAGGGGCTGAGTGGACTTGGCCACCCGTGAGCGTTGTCAGTTCTATTTCCGCGGGCCCCGCGCTGCGGAGCTCAGCCCTGTGTCGTGAGGGTGACCTTGAATGTCAAGTCCAAGCTTGCTCTTGGACTAGGGACGACTTTTTGAAACATGGGGGTTTTGGTGGCTTCCAGTTCAAACAAATTCAGCTGAAGGCAACTTACCTTTTTACACACGTCTGGTCTGAAGTTTTTAGCATGAGTAGCAGTTTGGCAGTCGGCATTGCATAACTGCAGTAGGTTTTCTCTGTTGTGTAACACACCCTGCTGGTAGCTGGCAATACTGCTGGTCACTGCTGCTACTGATGTCAGTTGTGGAAAAACATTGATTAGTTATTACATAACATGTATTAAGATATCTTCAATTCTCTTTTAGGTCCATGAAAAATGTGATGACCTGGGTAGAGGGGGAGATAATGAGAGCAAATTAACTGGAAATGCTGGCCCTCGTTTAGCTTGTGGTGTGATTGGAATAGCGAAGAGTTAAGTATTGTACCCAAAATGCTTAAGGTGACAGTGGTGAGTGGGCTGTGTTTCATGGCAAATGCTCTACTTGCCCTTCCTTGTGTAAACAAACAATTTATCACTTAATCTCATTACTACTCCGTGTTCTGAGTATCACTTCCACTGGTGAAGACTGACTTAATTTTGTATGGTGTATAATTGCAATTAAAGTGGCCCTGACGGAATGTCTCTGTAGTCTTCTGCTGAAGCATCTGCTGTAACCATTAAGTATCCCTTTGCTAACTGGAGCCCCCCTGCTGGGTAACGGGAGGTGTGCAGTAGTGGCCACATCCCGAACCTCTCGCGTACTGTGGGATCTGGAGGATCAGCCTTCCGAGCTCTGGCAAGGCTACTCACCGAAGAGCAGTAGGGCACTGTGTGTACTGGGGCTTCCTCCTGGCAAGGCTGCAGCATTTGTAGGTTTCAAACTTGTGTAATAAACTCGTTGGGCAAATACACCTTGGTCTTGCTGTCTCTGAAAGAACTGAACATGCCCCCCCTCCCTGCTGAGGTGGAGGAGTAGGCCCGAGCTTCCTCGGGGCGGTAGCTGGTTTGCTGGGCACCAGCAGAGTCCATGGAGCTGCCTCTGGCCACGAGCCCCGTGCTCAGGCGCTGTGGCTTGTGTTAGCCCCTGGCCCGTGGCCATCACTGGGCACCGCCTCTGTGTGACAGCTGGGGGTGTTATCTACCGGAGGGCAAGGGCTGCCTGGCAGAAATACTGTCCTGCTGTGGAAGGTGATGGTGGGTGACTGCACCGTGTGTGGGTGGTGGGGAAGCTTTAAGCACAGGAAGGGGTCTGGCTCCAACACGGGTCCTTGGGCCTCCTCCCCACCCCTGGCTGTGCGGGGCGCGGTGGTCTGGGCTGGTGTGTCCTGAAGTCTGGGGGTGTTGGTGAGGACAGCTCCTTCCTTTGAGCTGTGGGGGAGTAGGTCTTTCCTTAACAAGGACAGACGTAGCCGGAAGTTCTGTATTCAATTTCATAATGGTTTTCAGCAGTGTAATCACAGCGTACTGCTGTTAGCTTTCATTTTCTTGTATGTGCCTCTTAAACACAGATTTCCAAGTCTTTAATAGAGAAAATCACTAATTTTAATGAAGGCTTGTACCAACATTCCTTTTTCCTGTACATAAGAGATACTCATGGAAGTAGTTGGTTGTAGCTCTAGGCACCCAGATTCCAGCGTAGCACATTACAAATGGACTGGCCTGTGGTGGTCTAGCAACACTGTAAAAACACTTCAAACTTCCTTTCAGTGCAGGTGGCAAAGGATGGTGTGTACAGTCTCCACCCGCCCGTGCCCCTTCCACGGGCTTAGTCTATGCTTGGGTTGAGCTCCTGCAGCAGAATTAAGATAGGGACTGCGCCTTTCAGCTCCCTCCTTTGGCACCTGGGGATGCTGAATGCCCCCAACCACCAGTCTCCCCTCTTCGTGTTTCCAAAGGTCTGAGGCCTCCCCTTCCCCAAGGGGGGGAAAAGGGGCGAGTACTTGACGCCTGCAGGGGTGGGGAGCTCAGGCAGCTCCCCTGCTTGCCTCCTCTCCTGCCCTTCACAGTGCCGAACCTCGCTGCTTTACGAGCCTGCTATATGCACATCTTTACTTTCAACCCCGTTTCCTCACGTTGGGTTAAATGCCTGATGGCCCCCTGGCCTAGAAGTCAGTGCTGTATCGAAGGGTGCAGAACTAACGCTCGCTTTAGGTGCAAGTCATTGTCACTGGCAGGAGTAGGCTCAATCACCAAGGTGTTAATCACTAACACTGTTATCAGCAACAGACATGTGCACTGAGCTAATTAATCTTTACCTACAACTTTCTGGATTTAAAATAAGCCAGAAGCATGGTAGCTGTAGAAGGGTAGGACACGGTTACGCTGGTGATGCTGTAAAGATGATTCATCGCTAGTAGGTTTGTTAAGCAATGGCTCCTTCGGAAGGCAGTAAGAAATTGTTCTGCTAAGGACACCCAAGGGTTTCCTAGGCTTTGTTTTCAAATTTCTAGTGAGGGAAAAGGAGAGAACATGAGGTGGCATTTGTGTGAACAGACAAGCCTTCCGTCTCTTTCATTCTTGTCTTCAAATCTTTTAATAAAGTGTATTCATTAAAAAAAAAAACCCCTACCTCCTTACAGAATTATGGCAGTTTTTACTAAGACAAGTCTTAAACATAAGACGTAAGTGTCTGGCTTTGTATGAAAAAAGTTAAGTTCCGCTGGCCCAGCATGAAACAAACAGTAAGGACACGAGTTGTAACACATGGAAGTTGAGTTCACTACAAGTATGTAAACAGTTTTTTTCTCTCTTTATTCTGCTATTGCAAGAACATAAAAATATATGTCCTCTCCCCAGTCCATAACTCTTTTGCTTTCCCACCCTCCTCCCTCCCCCAGAAAAAATTCCCTCTGCCGCAGAGCAGCTATGAAAAAGTACTGATGTAAGAAAGCAGCTGCCCTTCATTTGGGGAAAAAAAAAAAAAATAAAACAACTTTAAAAGTAGAACACACATATATCGAGAAAAAAAAAAAAAAAACAACAAAAAAAATTAAATATGCACAGGATTCATACAACTTCTCCACTATGCTGCTAGAGTTAAAGAAGCTTCCACGGCCGGGCCGACTTGCTGGCCAGGGCAGCGCAGCCGCCTTGGCTCTCAAAGCTGCACCCGAAGAGCCGACCACCAAGAACTAGCATTTGCCCTCCTAAAATCTGACAGAATTACTTAAGTGATATGGATAGAAGATGGTAAAACTTGCACAAATACAAGAAAATGCGCGCTCTGTCCATCGGCCCGATGGGAACAACACTGGGTGGGTAAAAACTTTAAACCTACCTCTTGCAGGGTTACAGGAGGTAGACCTCGTTAACAGACAACAGTAGCAGCCCACAGTCGTGTGAATGAAGAGGCAGCATTTTAAAATCCTCGCGCACCCTCCCACCTCCCTTCCTTTTCCCTGCCCCATTTAAAAAAAATAGCATTTTATATTGTGTTTTGGTGTCTTTGATTTCTCTTTCACCCCACTTTCCAAAAAGCATCAATGAATAACAAGTACAAAAGATGCTGAACCGGTGTGCTTCCTAGCCCACCACACACAGTAATTTTATAACATCACAAGCAGAGCAGGCCAAGTATGTCTGAAGGTGTCCACTTTTTTAAAAAAAAAAAGGCTAATAATTAGGGCAACATTTACCACAGAACCAGGTGGAGGGAGGGAAAAAGGAAAAAAAAAAAAAATTGATTGCATTGCAAACACTAAACAGTTAACTCTTCAATTAATTAACATTTTAAAACCACTAACTTTTACCTAGTATGGTCAAGTAGATCATTAAAATGCAGCAATCTGAAAATCAAGATGACTATTACAAATAAAAATTTGCTTCTGTGAATAGCTACACAAACAGATGTATTTCTTTTAACAAATATAAACAAAACAGTCTAATTTAGACTCCAGTACAGCATTAACAGTTCAAACTTTAAGATGTTGAACACTCCTTTTCCACTTCAGTGCAGTGTAGGAAGAATAGCACACGTTAAAGTTTGTTACGAAAATAGAGTTTATTAAAAACACATCCCTATTGTTTTGAGGAGCTTTCACCGTTACCTTTTCTTAAATTAAAAAAAAAATAGAAAGCACTTCTACTTCTGATTTGTAAACTTTTTAAAGTCAAAACTTTAAAAAAGTTACAGCAAAAATGGGTAATATTTTAATCATATCTTCAGTATTTCATGTTATGTTGTGGCTATTTTAAATAGAAGGGAAGCAATCAAATTGCTTACAATTCCCCACCAACTACCGAGGGGCTGTGATAAAAGCAGAAGCAAATATAATACAGCAGACTGTACAACTCTAAAGCTCTACACTCCAACAAATGTCACTGTCATCCTTCGACAACTTCCAGTCGCTAGCGAGGCGCCTCTGCCACGGAGCCCGTATCCTTTTCCGCTTGTTCCACAGATGAGGTAGCCTCGGATGTTAACTCTTCAACAGGTTTTACCCCTGCAGGTTCCGACTCTCCCGCAGCGAGTTCTGAAACAATGTCTGCGTCTTCCATTTTGCCGCTATGAGACTCGTGGTTTTTGTCACCCTCCGCCCTGTCTGTCATCTCCGGTTTTTCCTTCCCTCGATTTTCTTCCTTGTCTCTACGAGACTCCCGATCTCGCGAATCTCTCTCCCTGTCTCGATGGCCGCTGGACCGCCTGTTTCTGTCCTCCAAGTCTCTGTGTCTGTCACGCTCGGGGCTTCTTCGTCCCCAGTCTCGCCTCTCACGATTACCAAGTCGCTCGTGATCTCGGTCATCGTTGCGGTTACCGTAGCGCTCACGATCGTTCTCTACCCGATTCCCAAAAGATCTCCTTCCAAACCTCTCCTGGTCTCTGTTAGGCGTGAACGTCTGCCTGTCGTTCCTAAACTGCCTCCCATCTCTGTTATCCTCGGGTCCGCCCGGCCCCCCGCTTCCTGGCATCCCCCCGGGTCTCACAAAGTGACCCGGCGGCGGGAAGGGGGTTTTCATTCCGTGGGGGGGAGGCATCCCGAAGCCCCCTGGCCCCGGCGGGGGCCCTCTGTGCATCATGTGGGGAGGCATGTGTCGCGGCGGCATCAGGGGAAACCGCTGCAGAGGCGGGGGCGGCATTCCCGGCGGTCGCTGCAGAGGTATGAGGCCGGGCCGGGCACCCAGGAGGCCGGTGGATGGGGTCTGCAACCCAACAACGGGGGCTGGCGGGGGCGGCACCACTCCTTGGGTGCCTGAAACAAACAAACACACATACACAAGGTAAAATCAGAGGCTGGCAGGAGGGGGAAAGAAAAAAAAAAAAAAAGAAACAAGCGCATTTTCATCATCTCAAAAACATTTGGAAATTATCTCACGAAACGAGTAACACCGAAATTGCAGGGGGGGGGCGCGGGGAACGGGGCAGCCTGCAAAACTTCCTGTGCCGGCCTACATACTGCAAAGGGAGCATCGTCTGTAAACAGGCTGTATCGTGCTAGAAGGAATCAAGATTGCAATGGTAGTACCCAGGCACTTATCCCACAGGCCTCCCCTGCGAAGACGCCCCCCGCCACTCTGCAGACCTCCAGCTCGCGCCTGGCCCTGCAGCCGCTCGCCGGCGCAACACCCTCCCGACGGGCTCTGCTCCCCAGGCCTCTCGTTAAACACACCCTGCCTCCTCCCGTCGGCTCGACAACATCTCTATCGCCGACATCAGCGAAACCCTATCTGGCTACGATGCTTGAGACCCGAACTGGTCATCCGTGAGATTTTCAGCATGTGGAAGAGAGAGCAGACACAGTATGGAGGGAGGGGTGCGGTCAGAACAGGGCCCGAGCAGGAGCGGGAAATCAGAGAGCTCAACTTGCCATTCCGGAGAAAAGGCATACAACAAAGTTTATTATGGGTAGAATAAACCTTGCAGTGTAAACTAAAAGGAAATGCAACACATAATTTCTGGATTTTTGGAGGGTGT